AGGTCTTGAGACTTCGCCGGCTTCCCATGTCGTATCACCTTTTTTCGTACATTTTTCCCCCTCCATTTTCCCCCGCTTGGATTTCTTCAAATCGCAGTTTGATGTCCTCCTGTTTTGGGGTCTGTGCGCTGGAAACTTTCAGAAAAGAATCCCAGGTTTACGCTCCGAAAATCAACGGTCTGCCGGAACCTAAAACCACACACGCTTTCAAGGCGGTATTTCTCCACATTTAGCAGTCTTCAGGGTAAAATCCAACCGCGAGGCGAGAAACCCGTACTCAGCCCGCAGGTGTAAGGTTCGCTGGTATTTAATTCGCTCTTGGGATCGGTTGATCGGAAAATTCGAGCAAAGAGCCTCCGGAAAATCTGTTCAGTCTCCCTTCTGGGGCTAAGTTAACACCTACGTGGTTCCAAACCTCTTCCTTACACCGAAGGTCAGAGGGGGAAGAGAGAAACAAAGACCAGTTAGATAAAAAATATAAGGGATCACAGCAGAACTTGTCTCTGCCCGGATACACCTCAAGCCAGTCCTGGACGAGGCAAAGTGGAGTTGTGCTCCACCCTTCAAACCATGGTAATGGGAGCCCCACGATTTACCGGGTATTCCTTGCGGAGCATGGTTTCCAGGAATGAAAAGGGAAAAAAGGAAAGCACAGAATGCCTTTTTCTTTTAAGCCACCCTTTGCTGCCTGGTGGCCACGCTATTAACTTATCCTGTCCGTCGCCGGTTAAATACGGTGTGATATACTCGAGTATAGCACTCCTTGGCCTGAAGCGAAAGCTTGGAAGCTATCGAATTGTGAATGGCCATTCCCCCCCCCCTCTTTCCCTTTTCGTTTATCGCCTGTCAAATACGGGTGTGGGCTTATTCCGGCAGCAAGCAACTTTTGTCCAAAGTGTAGCGACACATATATACTTGTACAGTACAGTACAGTACTGTACTGTAATTCGGCTTGCCTGTGTACTGTGCTGTACTAGCACTCGCGAGCGTCCCTCGAGTGTAGCTGCAGACAGATGAGGATCTTCTTGCCGAAAGGGAAAAGAGATCTAGAGCTCTTGCATGTCACATGGCCAAAAGAAAAGAAAAGCCCCCACAATAGTTGAGAGGCCAATTCAAGTAGTGTACCGTATACGGTGGGCTGGCTGGCCATCACGGCCTATCACCGGTCGGCCAACTCAGAATTACTCCTTGGGTGGGAAAGATAAAGGCTTGCTAGTGCCGGTATGGTAGCTGTGTGATAGTCTGCTCAAGTACTCAAGCGCTATTCAAGAAATCTAGTGCTGAAGGCTATTTTCTAGTTAGTCAAGGCCCGTGGGGGAGGGAAGGAAGGCGTAACATCCTTCAGAGGACTGACCCTTGCTAGTAGAACTCCAATTGTTTTTTTCAGGTGCCCATATAATTCTGCTCCAAAAGAGCAGTCCTCTTGGCGCGCAATTTTTGGCCCCTTGGTTTCCAATTATGGTGGAGCTGTCGAAAACTGAGCTGCTATCATATCATGCCTGCTATTAGTCTACGGTTAACGCCCTCGCTCGTCATCCCACGTCCATCCCAGTGGATGCCCCCCGTCCACTATGCGGCCCCTGCTTTTTTCCCTGCTGGGTTCGATTTTTCCGCTCGTTTGGTCTCGCTTAACAAAGTGTGCTCGAGCACTTGACCAGCCAGCCAATAAACATACGATGGGGGAATTTCTTTCGCCGGAGAACTTCAGACCCGAAAAAATGCCCAAACTCAAACTGCTACTCCAAGGATTAACTAACGGTTAACCACAATGAAACGAAGTTTACATGTATTACTAAGCAAATGAAAGACGTTAGAGGTCCCATTTAAGGTTTCCCCACCTGCCACCATATCTAAGGTCCGCTATGCTCAGGACAAAACTCTAGCAAAACATTTTGTCGCATGGTGAGTTTGATAGTAGAGCGATTGCTGGGATACCTCACTGGCGAGCACAAGTATTCCACTGATTTGCCCACACTTCCCTTGATTGTCTTGCTAGGTGTAAGGGTGTGCTTGTCACTGTGTTCGAGGTGGGTCATCCGGAGACCGCAAGGGCCCTCCCATCACTTGACCATCTTGAAGTTCCAAAGTAAACAGGGGCGCTCATCGTTTTGCCAAAAAGATACAAGCGCAAGCCCCCCAAACCTCCAAGAAGTACTCAAGTATTTACTGCGCAAGGAGATAAGACCTGATATTCCGGCATCACAAGCTTGGTATGTTGTCGTGTGCCCCACCAGTCAGTACCTGGCATTGACTGGTGTCTTGACTTCGGGATAGATTCTACGACCCGTTAGATATAGTCCGGGGCATAGTAACGCAGAAACTTCCTACTGATACTAAACCTATTTCTAAACACCAAGTGCTTTCGGGTGGTCTTACCGATGATGATAGTAGCTGTTGGCCTGGTTTAGGATTATTACTGCTTGTACTGCCTGCTGCATTACCCTTTCTTCATAAGGCTGCTGCACTCTTACTCGTACAAAACCTGTTGGGTAGTCGGAAATCAATAACGCCGACTGAAAAAAAACACACCCGGATTTTTACATGCGACTAATATTCCGAGTAGTCTTTCAAGCCATTTATTCTGGCGAGTGCCAGCGTTGAATTCAGCACCAGGTTATTTGGAAAGCGTAAAATATGCTACACCTTTCTTTTGCGAGGAATGCGCCCTTCACTTGTGGTCGCAACCGAGCCAGTGATTAAGTTTATGGTAGCGACCCCGACGATAGGCTCTTCAATTGAAGCTACCAATTGGAAAGGTGGCTGTGTACCCATTATAGGAGGCCCTCTTTGGTCATACCACCACTTCTAGGGTGCCAAAACGCAAGAGCCGATTTCTGATTAGGTGCTAGAATTCAAGGTCGTGGTCTCTCGACCTCTGCCTCACTACCAGCAGCACAGGTGTACCAACACGTTGACACAGCACGGGCCGTTCGCGTTGTTGATTGTAGTGCTGTCTGTACCTCCAGCGAATACGAACCCTTTCCGCAGAGTGAGGGAAATCTCAGAATCTTGTAAAGCGTAATTAGTGTGCTGCACTCTACTGCAAGTTTCAAAGGGGCAATCCGGGATGATAGGGGAAGGAAGAGGTGGGTAAATAAAAAACCGAGGGAGAGTGATGGGGGATGTGGTGTTAGTGGAGAGAGAAGCAGTGGGAGGTATTGTTCCGGAAAAAGGTGTTACCAACTAATCAACCACCACCACTACAACTACGAGTACTGTACAGTACAACTGCCAATTCTCACCCCCGCCGTACCCAACCAAGATCGCTTCCCAATACTCGCAAGCAATCAATGGCGTGGTGGGGGGCCGGATGTCCGCGTGAGGCAAGTTCTCCTGTCTCTTGACATCGCTCGAAATAGCGTTTCTAAAAGTCGAGCACACTGGCATTCGGGTTTGTCCTTCTATTTTCCTGCTGTTAATCCTCACTCTTCTCCTTATTAATATTTTCCTAGACCCAGCAAAGAACAGTCCATGTTCCGCAGGGCTCCGTTCTGAAGTTTTATCGGTTTCACCGGCTACCGACCTATGTCTTCGATTGTTCCCCTTGAACTTGTATCCGTGAAGTTCTCCAATGGGGGATGTACTTACTTGCTTGCCCTATCTTATTAGATGCCCAAACGCATGTCACTCACAAATTAGAGCAACCAATATCTATTTGGACTGCTTGAAATTCCTTAGATCGTTACCATCCAAGTCAATATCTGCTCCCTCTCGAGATTTCGCCTACTCATGTTATCTCCCTAATTCTAATACCCACTACCGTTCCCGGTGCACGAAGGCGAGAGCTTTGACCAGACTCCCAAGCAGGACTTAGGCTCCTACAGAAGAAGGAGAGTGTCTCTGGAAGCAGGATTCCATAGATGAGAAGCAAACCCCCGCTTCCTGGTTGCTTGCCCTTCCACGTCCTGCTATCCGCCCTTGCGAGCGATGCGAGGGTGGGATATAAGGAAGGATGAAGGGAAGGGCTAAGGTAGGCAGGAGAGGAGGGAAAACGGGAGAGAATTCTGGAAGGGCGAGTTACGGGGGAGGGGTCATGGGATATACTATGGAGAGAGAAAAAGGTGAGAGAAGATCTAAAGGAATAGTAGTTTAAGAAGGTAAAAAAATTCCAATGCATCGTGGGTTGATCGTTCATCTCGCCCCCCCCCGCTCAGGACAGAAATCTAGAAATTTAGCAAACCGTCGTGCTGGCAAAAATTCCGGAGTATTCCTGCGTGGATTGTGGCGATCAGCTCAGGAGTTATTGGTATTGCTTTGTTATGTAAGTGCTGCGGTTATGGAGCCTTTACTCCTAATCTATCCCCTTCCTCTTCCTTCCCTTGTTGGCTTCACCCCTCTCCCTGTCAAATGTATTTAAAGGTCCTATCCCCCAATGCTGATGGGTTGGAATTCAATTCTATTTGCATCTTCACCATTGAATATCTCCTTTCCCTCTACCTCTTGATTCACTTGCCGTGTTGCATCGTGCTGTCTTGTTCTCGCACCCGCGCTTCTTGCATATTTGGCGGCTAGTGTCACCCTCTCTAACCTAGATTTCCTATCAAGCCTCCCAGAACATTACTCTACCTACCACCTATTGAGCATTCCGCCTTGTGCCTGTTGTCTGAGGTGCAATCTCTAGGGATTGCACTTCTTCGCTCTTGATCTCCGTCTCATAGCAGTTTCTAGGCCCATCTCCTACCATTGGTTTACCGAACGAACACTCGTTCGGAGGCGCTATTTGTCCTCAACCCTCATCGCGATCCCCAGGGCCTCCCGCTTCAATATTAAAAGCGTACGTCACTTATTTCTACTCGCTCTCCTTTTCGCATCACCCTGACCCCACCATGCCCATTCCTATAACCATTGATTCTATCACGAGTGGCTTCTATCTCCCACCTCCCGAACTAACCTATATCAAGTCTAATGTCCACCTCAATGTCTCCTGTGTGTTTTCAAGGCTTTATGAATTGTAAAAGCTTACCTTTTCCGGGAAGCAGAGACCACAGAAGTCCATAGCAATGGCAACCGCCCAGCTGCTCTCGAGCTTTATATCTCCCCCAATCCCCTCTTCTCCATCGTCTTCGGCTGATCAGCTGCCTCCATTTTTCGCCCTCACCTACAATTATCTTTGTGCTGCGCTGCTCTTGTTGCCTCCGTTGGCCTATTTAACCTACAAGGACTACCGCTCTTTCCTCTCGCTTGGTCCAGGGGGTACTCCTTACAACTTTTATGGCTATTGTACCATAACCTCGCTCCGATTGCTCGCTCTCCGAAACCCCCGTGTTCCGGGACCAGTACCGGAAGGTCTAAAACACAATGGCTACCTCCCCAAGTCGGGGGTAGCTAAAAGGAATGCCTCTCGCCCAATCGTCACAGGAATCGCACCCCACAGACAGATGAATCAAAGGCCGAGAAGAGAAATATTCAACCTTCTTTCCAGCTCGCTACAGAATTTAGCGGACGATTATCCAAGAAGATTAAGAATCGCCAAAAGCTGCTTCGAGAAACATTGCCCGGGGCTGTTTTCCAAGAAGTCAGTTAACAAGACCTGCAATGGCGAAATTGTTCATGCCCACCTTAGTGATGGCTCAATGCATATGACGTTGCATCCGGCAGATGCCAAGATGGTTATCGAGGCTGGATGGGGAGGTACGTGTAACAAAAAGAACCCTTGCCCTGCACTGCAATGCTCGACAAAAGTTGCTTCTGTCCCCGCTGCCCGGTTCCCCCGAAGAGGTGAAAAAGTGGAAAAAGGAATGAAAAAGAAAAAGAAAAAGAATTCTGACTGGCTGTACTGCTACATATAGAGAGACATCCACTTGCCAGAGGCGGCTGGTGCAGACGGTTTGTGCCAGTCGGGTTTGTGATGATCTATGCTCCACGCACCGAAGAGGAGGTTGGTCTCGTCCTCGAAATCGTCAAGGCGGGAATTGGCTGGGTTAGCGGTGAGCCGCTGGACGAATCAGAGGCTGGACTCTATCCGAAGGAGATGGAGGCCAACGATGATTTGAGCCGCTGTGACTCCAGACGCTGCCATGCCAACGGGAACTCCACAACCAAGGACTGTGAATCCGATGTTGTCCAAAATGTCGCCAATGCAGTGATGGAGGACGCTTGATCGGTCCGGATTCCACAAGCAATTTGCTTTTTTTCTTTGCTTTTTCCCCTGTGTTCGTCCTTAGGACAGTGGGAGAGGATTTCGGGGTTTTTATGTCTTGCTAGGTGTTTTTCATTTACAGTTTCTCAATACCCTTGTGCCCCAAGTCCGGCCAGTGTACTGCGAGACGCGGGACCCTTCTAAGCTAGGCTTCTTCCGTTACGCTCGCGGTTTATATTTCATTCATATTTTCATTTCTTATTTTTATTAAATTCGAAGGGCTTGTTAGAGGCATTGATTCCTTCACAGGAGAAAAGTTTATCCCTAGTGTCTACTCCCTGGGAAGCTACTAGGACTGTGCCTTAGTTGGCATGGTTGTTCTGGAATTTTCTTGCCATGTCATTTATTATTCCCTTTCACAATTTGCTACAGGAGTTCATTTTTTCGCTCTCATCTTTCCCTTCGCTCGTGCCATTAGGTTTTTTGTTTTCTCCTTTCATTTATCATTTCTAGAGGGGGGTCCAAATGAGAAGAAACCTTCAGTTTCCTACAGCAAATTAATGAGATGCCATCCGGACGAGTTTCCTGGTGGTTTAAAAAATTTCACACCCCCGTGCTATTCGTGAAATGGGCGGAGTGCCAAATGGGGATAAATATTTTGACGGGTAAAGAGTAGAGCAGCGCAAGAGCAGACGATGCAGGAATTGCTGTACTACCCAAGTACCATTCTTGCCCAAGAGCGATACCAATTTTTCACCGTGCAGCACTGCTATGCGCTGCGCTAGACCGCACTACCGCAGTACAGTAACATTTCTCAAAAGTATAGAGATGCTTCCACATCGAACATCCCCCCAACGGGGTTGAAGAGCCGTCGTAGGGTTATATCCGGCCACGCAATAGATCCCACCAGTCCCTTTAACTCGCAGTGATCGGAGCAAGGTTTGTGGTTCCGGCCGTGGAAAGTCTGCTAGGAGCACTGTCGAAAGTGTTTTCAGTGGGGTTTCCCAGTCTGATTTTTGTAAGAACGGTATTATATTTGGTGGTGACGTGGCCGCTGTGTGGTGATGGGCGACGGTCTGGTATCCACGGGGAGGGGGGGGGGAGGGGGTTGAAGGTCATGGGACTTGATTCGCTTACTGGAGAACATAGTACTTGTATTAGTACAGGTCACACATGGTGTCATACATGCCTACTCGCCCTAGGAATATGCCGGGGGGCGGGCAGCTCGCTGTATGCCGGTTCTGGCGAGCGAGACACAGGAAGGTGGTGCGATGGAGTCAGTCTATTGACGATGGAAGAGGCAGACGCGGTGTGCGGTATGGTGAGATTCTGTGTAGGGACGTCGCAACACAGTGCCCCCGGATCACGTTATTCCCGGAGTTTCGACGATGTCGATAGGGAAGAGATGTGGGAATGGGAGAATAGATGGAATTGTCCTGTTCATTTAGGAGAAGCCACTACTTTCGATCATCTATAGCGCCTATTTTATTACGTGCAGGGTGAGAAGGTTATGTACTCGAGTACAGTACCTTACGATGCTCATTCCGGGATTGACCAATTCTGATAAAAGGGAATGATTGCATCCTATGCCCGGTATCCTCCTTGGCTGTTGTGACCTGCGGCAGCATTATAGTGTAGAGCGAGGGTGGTACAGTACTGTACGGTACGGAACGACACACGCTCCCCGAGTGCCCTATGGTCAACCATATGCGCTCAGTGCAGCTCATGTTAACAACACACTCCACATGAGAGACCTCCGTGTTTCGCTTATTTCCTTGCAGCCACCCAGTTCTCCACTACCTCAATCTCCATCCTCAACATTTTTCAGTTTTTATCCGACTTGTCGTACTGAATTTCCTCCATGTTTCTACACGTTTTGAGTGATTCCGAGGGGGGAGGGGGGGGGTTCGCATTGCATAAGCAAAGATGTATGTGTTTGTGTAGTGTATGGACAAACGTATGCAGTATCTGCGGGTGAGCCAACCGGATAATCATGAAATCTCACTCTCTACTCACGATTGTTGTCGTGTCGTATGTTCTTGCGCCAATTTCCCCCTGCTTTTCTCAGGCTGAGTAACTGTTGAGGTGTCACCCGAGGACCGTGGCTTCCTCGTAGTTGCTGTAGCTATCATGCGAGATCCTGTAAGTTCTGTTATCACTACCCGCTCCGTGAGGATCGGGTTCGTTCACGTATTCGCCTCAAAGGTGGTGGGGTCGGACGGGAGATGGGGAATGCCTGGCGGATTTCTAGTAGCAGGTTTTCGGGTTTCGGGATTTGGAGAGGGGAGGTGTGAGCAGTTATCCTATCAGATTGCTCTGGGGGAGAGATATCTTTCCTGTTTCTCTTATCGGAAGTGATCGGGGGTGGCTTAGGTTAGTGACTTGTAGACACAGCTGTTGGTGCATGGTGGGGATAATATTAGAGCTCAATAGTGTCGTTTATGCAAACTTGTGTTCTTCAGGGGTCCAGGCGTGCTTGAGTGGCCACCTTGATACGAGCGACTTGAGCACTCAAACGCAGAGCTCTTGCAACTTCGGATGCATGCAGAGCCAATATCCTTTCGAGAACATGGCTCAATGATGAGCGCTCGGGTAATTTAGTTGCGCGCATCAAGGGTGTATGCGGATAAGTACAGTACACGCACATCTAGGTTGCCCATCACGATGCGTCACTCTCTTCATTCTCCCTGCGCTCTTCTCAATCACTATTCCATGAGGATGATTGAAGGTAATCCGTCGCAGTGACACAAGGAGGCGCTATCTTCACCCGCTCTTCCCTATCTATCTCCCCAAGGAAACCCGCCTTTTGCACCAATGCATCGATGTCCCTTTCCCCGACCCGATACCCTGGGAAGACATGAAACCTGTTGGAACATCGCCGTTTGCGTAGCGATCGCGAAGATCGAATGAGATCTTGATCGGAATGTAGATTCGGTTTCAGGGAGCTAGAACTGACCAATGGCCCTTGCGATGCGGAGTCAAATACTAGACGGCACCTTATTGGATCGTCTCGTTGCTAGAGGGGTAGCTGATGGGTCCTCTTTTTTTTTTTTCGTGAATGCATCGGGAAATCGGGATTCCCATACGCAAATAATCACTTGACAGCTCGCCAAAAGTAGGGTCGCGGAGAGAGTGTTATGTGAAAACTTGCTATCATACAAGGTAATCGCCAACGTTAGAAAGGGAAAGGAGAGTTAGGGGAAGGGCCTGGTGGTACACTATGGAAAATAATGGAATTTAATTATATCGCTTACCACCTCAGCCACTGCTATTAGCCATAGCGAAACGTAATTTCAATCCGGAACCTCAATTCTTCTAGAACATATGCCCGCTGATGGGTATTCCCCTGACAGGAAGTTAAGGCAAGAAATCTTCCATCTCTGGTGTCCACGGAACTGCGTTATCGGTTCCTAGTTCCAATTGAGAACTTGTGGATTCTTTCTTCTCGCAATCAGAGATCCCATGGCTACGCATTTTAATTCAAATTCGGCGCAGCAATGAGGTTGGGATTCATAATCATCGCAACCCGCGAACCCGGTTATTCGTTGTATGATGATAAATAACATTGTGGTATCATATTACTAGAGTTGTGAGACACCCGGACGAGGCCTTGGCAAAAAGTCCAAAATTCGTTGATTGACTAATCCAATTCCAATATGAAATCGGCCTAAATAGGTCTATTTAATTATTCAGTGCTGGTGGATTTTAACCTGGGCTTAACAGCTTTGGATGGAGTTCATACCTACCCCCTGGACTTTACAAATTAATCCCTCAATCTACTCAACTAGTACACAATATTTTTGAGAAACCAAACTATGGAGTTATTTTCCAATCGATTCTCTATGGGTATCAGGATTAATAATATGGGACAGTTAATATGGTCGAGCGTTGAGATGTTTCTTGCCAACGTGTTTTCTTTGTGGCCCAAGCTAGAGGTCTGGCACAATAAATCCAGGATTTGCCTATTAATCCCACATCCCGAGACGGGAATAGAGCGTAGAGCGGGAGGAAGGGAGGGAAGGAAGTGGGGAGTAGGAATCGAACAACGTTTTTTGTTAGTTTCTCAGCCTCTCGATTGCGAAGCAATCGAGATTTTTCTCCCTGCTTTGTTTTTTTTTCCCGTGATGATACTTATTTTTCCTATTGTTTCCGTGGGCGCAGCAGACCCGCGGTACGTACTGGCCACATGCTCACCTGCCCCAGCATTTGCAGAGGCAGCCAGCGGTTGATACTAAGCCAGCCCTCACTCGACTAATATTGGTTAAGCATGATTTCAGTTATAGGCAGTTGTTTCGGTAACTTTATAAGCGGAGTACAGCGCAATAGTAACCAGATGCAGATTTACACTACCATACATGTCAATGAGATAGCTCCACCTAATGCGATTACTGTACTGATGTTCTAATCACTGGGGCCGTGGTGTGACCGAGGCCTTTGAGCCTAATTTCTTCGTACTATCTACTCGAATACACTTTACACATTACATGCCAAGACCTTTATTGAAAGCCGGCTTATCCAAAAAAAAAAAACAGAAAACCCTGACTCAACACATCGGCAATCGAAAAGTGCGTCCGGATACTGAGATGTACTCGAGTACAATGTATCCACAGGCAATTTTAATGCCGGCAAATTCGGGAATGGGTGGATAAGGGTATGTGCAAAGAGTTCATTCGCCCCTCGCTCTCTACTTTCTGGACATCGTCGGTACCGCTTTGCTGACTACTGTATGCATGCAATTCAAACAACACAATGTCATGAACGTTCGACTTTCACCGCCGGCGCGATGCGGGGCGGTCTTTCCCAGCCCGAGCTTGGGGAATTACGAGTGCCCTGCACCCTACCACGGATGCCCCCCCCCCCCGCTGGGGTGTGAATAACCCAGGGTTTTATTTTTATTTTTTTATTTCTCAACAGACTAGGGCTTTTAGTGAACAATCATCTGCGCAAAAGAAGGATGCGAATCCTTCGGAGTGATAATACTTTCCAATACTGGCCAGCATTTCTCCCTGTCGCCAATACCG